TACATCTCCAATAAATTGGCTCATGTTTACTAGATTTTGAATATATTTTTCCTTATCTTTATTGTGGACATTCTTGTATATCATTGACTCTCAAATCAAATAAAGACTAGGGCAATGGCGAATGTACGTGTAATGAAAGCACTTTAATTCAGTCTTACTATAATCTGCCTTTTTTCCTTCCATGCTTGCTTGTTTACTTCTGACAATTAGAAGTTTGCCTCTTTGACCAACTGCAACAAGACACTGAGGTCCGTGTTCTCCAGAGATGCAGGTTCCAATAAATACGACTGGCTGCTCTAAGCTCTGGAGGACTCTGACTGGAGATCTCTGCTCTCCTGTAGGACCAGCCAGGTTGGGGACGAGCAAAGGAAAGCAGCAAATATGTCCATCAGGTAAACCACACAGAATGACTGGAGAATTGACTAAAGAGGCGTCCACTCCAAATAAAAGCCTGAAAAGATGGGGCTCAAGATGGGGACGGAGGTCAGATTGGTCAGTGCTGACTGATGTGGATCCTTCGGGGTAGATGCAAGTCAATACTGGAGGTGAACTCACACTTTTTTCTTTGTCTGTTAAGTTTAAACAGCATGTGTTTAGAGTTACAACCTGGAAACATGCAAGTTTATGAAGGGGTCTGGATCCAGTCTCTTCGTAGAGATCAAAACTCCAGACAGACTTGTGAAGGCTAAGCGTCACAAGGATCTTCTCAACTATGGTGAACGCTTGTAGGCTGGCATTTTTCAGGACAATTGAATCATCTGGTACAGTATACAGCACACTGTCAGGACTTTTGTTCACCCGGACAGAAGAACTAGGAGGGAAAAGGCATGGAAAACTAAAATCACAAAACCAAAAATTCACCATTAAAGTTACTCTAGATATTGGCATATCTATGCCACTAGAAATAATCTAAAGACCCAATGAAATTGCTTGATGAATAGTTTTCTTTCCTGAGATGGTGCATTCCCTGATAGCACACGTACATCACGGAGACGTCTATTTGACATCTACAAGACGTTTTTTTTATTTATTTTTTAAATAAAGTTTACTCATGTGCAATACATGTATAGGACGTTTGCTATCAGATGTCAAATAGACGTTTAGAAAATGTCTTTAAGATGTTTATGATTTAGAATGTAGGTAAAACTGACATCTTAAAGACGTTTATCAGAAGTTTGTAAACAGCAGATGCTTTCCAGATGAAGAGATCTTTAACAGACGTCTTGCAGACGTACCTGTACTATCTGGGATTTATGGTCAAATTTCCAATGGGAAGAAAGAAATGTCTTTATAGCAACTCAGCTAGGAGACTTCATATTATGACTGTATTTAGTTTATTTAATAAAACAAAACGTGAATTCAACAAGTAATATTAATCATTGAATTTAATTGCAAATTACTAAGCACCGCCCCTTGGTTACAGTTGCTAACAAGTTCAGAATTTTCATTCTTAAAAGCATTCGATTGGACAAAAAATTGTGTAGTGCAACATAAATCATCAGTATTGGTGGTCTGTTTTCCAATAAATACGTACGTTTATTTGCTGTAATTAAATTACACACGTACATACATATTTAATAGCAAGTGATCATTTATCGCGGAAACAGTAATCTGTATATAATCTATATATTACTACCTGAGCTGTGGTGGTAAAGGGGTGCAGTAAAGCCCACCGTTCGCACAAAGTGCATAAAGTCGATGTTTATCGTCACTTAATGCAAAATTTATCACTGAGGCTTCAAACAGCATCACGGTCTGAAAAACAACATGTATTTAGTGAGAATGGAGACAGAAAAGTAGTATAGTTGAACACAAAAGTGAGAACAAACGTCCACTTGCCGTGACTCTCCTCTCCTGGATATTGAATATGAGCACATCTCGGTCTCCGCGGGTCAAGAAAAGATTCACGCCGTCCTGAATAACGCGCACTAAGTGTGACTGACAGTCACTGAACTCTGATAAATACTCCACACTGCACCGCACCGCGTCCATTATCAGATTCCGCCTGTTTTACATTCTCCTCTGAGTGAAATTCAACTTAAAAGACGTTTTCTGTTAGGATAATAATAGTCATGCGATTTAACTAACGTTACATAACAGAGATGTTAGTGACTGTCCCTAACTTGTTTCATGTTCCCGCCACCTCTACAGTGACCAGTGAGGGCCAATATTCTTCCTTCTTCTTCTTCTTCTTCTGGTGTTTTATGGCGGTTTGGCAAACCAGCGAAAGAGGTGCATTACCGCCACCTACTGATCTGGAGTGTGGAGTGTGCATAAATTTGGAAGAAAGAAATACAGAATATTCTTCCTTCTTCTGCCTGTCCGTTTTAGTAGACTGCCATCTACCGGTGTTACGAGATTATCGGTTTCCGAGATTTTCAAGTAGGTATAACTGCGAGAAGGGTGTTCCTGCACAACCGGAGGCAGCAGTTTCAGGACCGCAGTTCTAGGACCCTATGCTTTTGTAACAGCGCCACCTACCGAATTGGATAATATAGCGGAGGCTGCAGTTTCAGGACCGCATTTCTAGGACCCTAGGATTTCTAGTTCACCCAAAAATGAAAATTAGGCTGTGTTTCACTCACCCCCGAGGCATCCTAGGTGTATATGACTTTCTTCTTTCAGACGAATCCAGTCTGAGTTATATTAAAAATTGTCTTTGATTTTTCAAGCTGTTTCATGGCACTCAGCGGGTTTTGCATGCATCTGTCCAAAAGAAGTTAAATAAAAAGCGCCCATCCATAAAAAAAAGTGTCTCACACGGCTCCGGGGGGTGAACAAAGG